AAATAGGTATGTCTATGTTAAGGAATATCATTCAGTAGTAGAAAGGAATGAAGTACGAATACAATGATATAACCTGGATGAACCTTAAAACATTGTGCTAAGTTAAAGAAACCAGTCACACAAGACTACATTTTGCATGACTCCATTTATATGAAATGTAGACAAAAGGCAAACAGACAGACAAATTAGATTAGTGATAGTCAAGACGGGATGGGGGAGACAATGGGAAAATTGAGGATAGCTAAAGGTTATAGAATTTGGTGTAATGAAAATTCTGATCAGTGATGATTGCACAACTCTGTGAATATATTAAAACTACTGAATTGTATATTTTAAATGGGTGCATTATAGCTCATAATGCTGTTAGTAAAAACATTAAAATTTAACAAGTAACACAAATTAAAAAAAAAAAAACTTTTGCTCTACAACAAGACCAAGTACTTATGTAAGAGTTACAAGAAAAGAATTAAGTTGCGGGGAGGGCCCCTTAGGTGGCTCAGTCCCGAAGTATCTGCCATTGCCTCAGGTCATGATTCCAGGGTTCTGGGAATGAGCCCCATGTCAGGCTCCTTGCCCAATGGGAAGCCTGCTTCTCCCTCTCTCACTCCCCCTGCTTGTGTTCCCTCTCTTGGTGTCTCTCTCTGTCAAACAAATAAATAAAATTGTTAAAAAAAAAATTAAGTTGACCTATATTTGTCTGACGTGGAAAGATTTCCAAGACTTATTGTTAAGTGCAAAGAGTAAGTCAAAAAGCCATATATATGTTGTAACATTTAGGTAAAAGAAAACTGCAGGGGCACCTGGGTGGCTCAGTGGGTTAAAGCCTCTGCCTTCAGCTCAGGTCATGATCTTGGGGTCCGGGGATCGAGCCCCGCATCGGGCTCTCAGCTCAGCAGGGAGCCTGCTTTCCTCCTCTCTCTCTGCCTGCCTCTCTGACTTCTTGTGATCTCTTGTGATCTCTCTGTCTCTGTCATTTCAATAAATGAAATCTTTAAAAAAAAAAAAGAAAGAAAACTGCAAAATAAAACTCTCTACATACACACACAAATGCACACAGAACATTTTGGAAAAGATAACTGGAAACAAATGATAAGTAGTAATGTAGGAAAATTTTCCTACATTATTTATAAAAATTTATTTATAAATTTTGTTATGAGATAAAAAAGATATAAAAATTTATTTATAAATTTTTTATAAATTTATAAACATTTATAAAAAATTTATAGAAACTGCCTTCAGCTCAGGTCATGATCCCGGGGTCCTGGGATTGAGCCCCGTGTCAGGCTCCCTGCTCCTTGGGGAGCCTGCTTCTCCTCTCTCCCTCTGCCAGCTGCTCCCTTGCTTATGCTCTCTCAATCTCTCTCTCTTTCTCTCTGTCAAATAAATAAATAAATAAATAAATCTTAAAAACAACAACAACAACAACAACTAAAATAGGGGCATCTGGGTGGCTCAGTACAACTCTTGATTCTGGCTTAGGTCATGATCTCAGGGTTATCAGATCAAGTCCCACACTGGGTTCTGTGCTTGGTGTGGAGCCCGCTTGAGATTCTCTCTCCCTCAACCTCTGTCCCTCCTTCCCTCCTCCTCGCTCCCTCTCTAAAAACAAACAAACAAACAAACAAACAAACCAAAAAACCACAAAAAAGAAACCCCACAAAAAACTAAACTAAAATAAAAAATACTGACAATACCAGATGTTGTCAAGAATGTACAAAAACTCATCTCTCATTCACTGGTGATGAGAATGTAAAATGGTACAGTTCACTCTGGAAAATAGTAATTTCTGAAAAACTAAATGTAAGCTCACATACAACCTAGCAACTATACTCCTAGGCATCTATCCCAGAGAAATGAAAATTAACATCCATATAAACAGCTGTACCCAAAAGTTGATATCTTTATTCATAATAGCCCCAAACTGAAAACAACCAAAATATCCTATAATAGTTGAATGGTTAAACAAACTGTTATAAATACATACCACAGAATACTAATCAGCAACAAAAGGAATGAACTATTGCTATAGGCCACAATTTGGGTGTGTCTCAAGGACATTATTCTGAGTAAAAAAAGCCAATCTCAAAAGGTCACATATCATGTGATTCCATTTATGTAACATTCCAAATGACAAAATTACAGAAATGGAGAACACATTAGTGGTTGCCAGGGGCTAGGATGGTGAGGTAGAGAAAATGGAAATGACTAGGAAGGGACAGTATGAGGGAGCTATTTGTGGTGACGGAATAGTTCTGTATTTTGATTATAAATCTAAACATGTGAAACCTGGATTATATTAAGCCTACACATGTGAAAAAATAGCCTAGAATAATACACACATTGTACAAATGTCAAATTGTACAAATTTATGGCTTTGATATTGTATTATACTTACATAAAATATAATCAATGGGGAAACTGGGTGAAGGTACATGGGACTATACTATTTTTGCAACTTCCTATGAATCTACAGTTATTTCAAAATAAAATTTTTGTAAAAGGACATCAGAGCCCAAAACAGGTCTTAAGAATTAAGAACACACACACAAAAAAAAAAAAAAAAAAAAAAGAATTAAGAACACAACAGCAGAAACTAAATAGGATTAGAAGATAAAGTTAAATAAACAAATCTCCCAAAGAGAGCAAAAAGACAAAGATAAAGATGTGGAAAACAGGAAATAAAATTTAAGAAAATCAGAGAACCAATCTTATAGAAGCGACATGAAAATAATGATTCTTTTTTAAGATTTTATTTATTTATTTGACAGAGAGAGATCACAAGTAGACGGAGAGGCAGGCAGAGAGAAAGAGGGAAGCAGGCTCCTTGCTGAGCAGAGAGCCCGATGTAGGACTCGATCCCAGGACCCTGAGATCATGACCTGAGCCGAAGGCAGCAGCTTAACCCACTGAGCCACCCAGGCGCCCGAAAATAATGAATTTAAGAAAGAGAGAATGGAGGGAGGCGTGGGTGGCTCAATGGGTTAGGCCTCTGCCTTCGGCTTGGGTGGTGATCTCAGGGTTCTGGGATCAAGCCCCACATGGGGCTCTCTGCTCGGCGGGGAGCCTGCTTCCCCCTTTCTCTCTGCCTGCCTCTCTGCCTACTTGTGATCTCTTTCTCTCTGTCAAATAAATAAATAACTAAATAAAAACAAAACAGAGAGAGAGAGAGAGAATGGAGAAAATAGGAAGGAGAAGTCAACAACAAAATAATTCAGCAGAATTTCACAGCATAGAAAGACATGAATTCCGGTGCCTACCAAAACATGTGAAGAGACCCACAGCAAGGAGTATCTTTTTGAAACACAACACTGGTAACATAGAGAAAATTCTACAAGCTTCTAAACAGTAAAAATCAAGTGAAATACAAAGGTATAGCATTGCTCTGGACTTCTCCACGGCAACAGTGGATGCTAGAAAACCATAATGCAATGTTTTCAAAATGCTGATGGTTTCCAACCAAGAATTCTACACTTCACCAAAGCTGCAAGCAAATAAATGTGAAGGCAGAATAACGTTTTCAGACATGCTTAGCATTTTAGACAGAAATAAAAAATGGTTATTTCTCATGCACTTTTTTTCAAGAAATTACTGGAAAATGTGCTCCACTAAAACAAGGAAGTTGGATGTCTTCCTCTAGAACACAAATGTATGACCACACAGAGCATCCCAGCTCTGGTCCCCTACACTCCTCTCTCTCCCACATTCCTGATCTCATCGATAGCATGGGCACTGCTGAGTAGCCCAAGCTGGGAAACTAAGTCATCCATTCCATTCTCATTTCTCAAAGCTAATCATGAAGTCTTAATGATTTAATTACCTAAATATTTCTCATTTCTGTCCCATGTTCCATGACCTTCCTTTAGGTCTATATGGTAAATACCACCTAACCCATCTGCCTACCTCAGTCCTGGCCTCCTCAACTTCACGATGTGGCTAACAGCCCTCTGCCTAAAATGCAAATCTGACCACATCGCTCAGTTACTGAAAAGTCCTCAAAAGCTTCTCAAATTCAGCAGGCAAGATAAATATGGGGTAAACGGCCACTCTCCCCAACTATCTCCCCCACCTTCATAATAGAGATTATATTTGATCCTGGTATTCTCCTGCAGAGCCTCACAACTTTCTCTGCATAGCTCATAGCCAACCACCATGAAATGAAATAATTTGCAACTCCTGTTCGGTATAAGGGCCCAGAAGACCCTGCCAGACTTTACTCCAGCTTTTCTACAGGGAACTAACTGTCCACTCCCAGTCACCTCGCCATTTCAGACCATGTCCAGGACCGAAGCTTCCCTCACTCCCTTGAGTCCAGTCTCTGTGCTCTGGCAACCTGTTCCCCAACCACGCTGTATTCAAATTGTTTCCAAGTCTCCCCCCGCCAGACTGAACTTACTAAAGGGCGAATGCCTTGTCTTACTCTGTGCTTCTAGCACCTGCTGCCACTTAAGAGTCCAGTCAACATTTGTTGAAACTAAGTGACCACAAATATCGCAGGGCACTAGAGGCGGAACAAAGTTAAAGGTCCTATCGGGAAGAGGGTAAACTAAGGTCAAATTCTGCGTCCTTTCCAAATGGCTTGATCTGCTTATTTCTTCTCTTCTGCATCCCCATAATCAGAAATGATGGCTGCTCCTGATTTTGCTCCTTCAGTGTTCCGGGCGTTCATTCACGTGTTCATTATTTTGTGTAACTGCCGCGCCTAGACTGGAAGCCCTTTGAGGGAAGGGGCTGTGTCCTCGCGCACTTCGCGGCTCTGGGCGACAACCGCCAGCGCTCAGTGAGCATGTGCGGGAGAGTGGTCTCTCCCCCACCGGATCCCGGCCTCAGCTCGGAGTCCCCCAGGCCCGCCCCGCCTCCCTGCGCTCTCCAGACCCCTCCTCACGCCGGCCGCTTCCCGCCTTCCGGCCAGCGGAAGTCGCTAGCTGCTCTTCCCTGGCCACGTGGAGCCTTTTCCGGTGCGCCCGCCCCCTCCGGCTCTCCGATCCGGACCTGGCCCTCACCTCAGGATTCCCAATGTGCCTCCGGACAGACATATCTGCTCCAAACGACCACGCTGGGATTCTAGCCTCACCGGTAGCCTCTAACCCTAGCTTCCTACCCATCCCCCAACAACCTCTCTCGGCCGCCTCCTTACAACCTCTACTCCGATTGGCCTCCTTTCTCCGGCCAGCCAATGGAGGCCCTGTTTACTTTGTCATTGCGGGGTCAAGGGAGAGCGAAGCGCCGCTCAATGGTTGCCACAGGCAACGGGGGACGCCAGCTGCGGAAGCCTTTTGTGCTTTCGGCGGGTCCCCGCCGGCTGCTGTCTGAGCGCGGGAAGAGGGGCGCGGGGGAGGGGTAGGCTAGCGCCTGCGCGTGAGCGGATGCGCAGAGCCCAGGGAGGGGGAAGGGCGGGAGAGCAGAAGGCGGTGGAGGGGGACTTTAAGGGGGAAACAAATATTTCTAGGTAATGTGCAGGCACATATGTGACACAGGGCACCCTCCCCTCCTGAGGCCATCTTAAGCAAACATCTGGGCTTCTACAATAGGGAAAAGATCTGAGACAGAGTGGTTCAGCAAGAATGGGAATCTCAAAAAAAAAAAAAAAAAAAAGAATGGGAATCTCTAGTTTATTATTTTCGGGTTAAGTTAATATGCAAATTATGCAAAATATCATGGGTAAATACAGTAATTATTGTAGCTTTAAAAGCTTTTTAGCTAGCCAGGGAACGGCAGCCCTAATTGCAAAGCGCACACACCATTCTGTGATTCATCATTCATTTAACAAATATTTAATAAGCACCTTATGAGAAAAGCTGCAGTTGGTTTTGTGGAGGATGGGAGGATGACTAAGAACCAGTCCCGTTGTCATGGAAACCATTGTGACTCCTGCCATCAGCTGCCACCTGTTCTTATTCCAGATCTGAAAATTAAGTCCTAGCACCTTTACAAGACTATCACACACACAGTTTGACTTTGGCTCCAAAATGTCCCACCAAATCCAACAAAATTATTTATTTTGACATGGGAGAACAACACAATAACCCTTTGTCCTTTGCTCTAAGTTGTTTTTCCAGGAATGGAGAAAGGTTACTCTGAACTGTTCATATTCACTAGCTCTCTGCTTGTAATAGCAGGGTCTGTGCCGGTGACCCATTCAACAACGTAGCCTCACATGCCCTTGTCCTTTCAGACACTTCAGCCTCCCACCCAGAGGGCCACACCTTAAATGGTGTTGCTTGACCTCTAGGAGTCTAAACTGGCCACAGCTGTCTCTTGCACGTTCATTTCCCGAATTTCCCTAATGTCCTCCAATCCTTTAATCCCTCTAAAATTACTAGTTTTTCATCCCTCCACTAGAATGAGGAGGAGTTTAGAGGCTGCAAAAAATGGGAAGGGGGGCAGTGGGGAGGATATCTTACTATTCAGAGGCTTCTGGACACTTTGCTACTTAGAACGAATACTTACTGGTGTGGTGTGGAGGTGGGGTGATGATGGAGATTATGGGTAGAATAAGTAGAAGAGAGAGGAGAGAGTGAGAGTAAGATACTAAACTAAAAGGTAGTAAAAAGAGAAAAATATTCTTCAAAACGTGTAGGTTAAAGGAACAGTTATATGCGTGCAAGGAAGTAAGGAGTGCAAAGAATTGGAAGGCATCAAGGATGGCTATAATTTTTCCAACGTTGGGACCAAGTAGATGAGTGATAATGCATGAATCAAGTTAAAGAACAATGGAGGTCAATAAATCAAAAGAATAGAAAGTGTAAGACCCCAAATCCTTTTGGAGTAAGAAGCTCAACTTCCATTCTTCACTTCTCTATATGGTCGTTTCCCTTTTTTCCCCAGAGGGTATGGGAATATCAGGTTCGTCTCAATACTCATTTTGGTTGTCAAATTTGGGCTGCCTGTAAGCATGCAGAGAGATTATCGAAATGTGGGTTTTGGGGTCCAGTCATCAGAGATCCTGATTCTGTGTGTCTAGGGTGAGGGTTTAGGGTTTTAAATACATGTTTTCCCTCTCCTACTCTTTGATTCTGATGCATGGAGTCCAAGGGCCACACCTTGAGAGGCTCTGCTGTAGAAGAACTTCTTATTTTGCCTCAGTGGAATCCTTAGAAAGCTTAAAGCTATAAATCAAAAGGCTTTTAACATGATGAATTTCCCTTCAAGATTCCTTTTGGGTATGTAGAAAAACTGCCTCATAATTAAAGCAAGGTGCTTACTGCTAATATGAAAAATAGATAAATGTCATAAAAAGATAATTCATAGAAGAAAAGCATTTAATAAACATATGAAGAAACTTCCAACTAATAATGAAAGAAATATAATATCGTGCAGCTAGATCTCATTTTTCAGCTAACAAATGGGCCAAAGTTTGTGTTCTTCTCTCTTTTTTAAATGATAATGCTCAGTATTGGTTAGTACATGAAACAAGCATGCTCATACATTGTTAGTGTGACTGTAAAGAAGTATAACCATTTTGAAAAGTAATTTCAGAGTAGGTGTCAAGAAGCCCTCAAATCTTAATATTCTCAAAATGTCTTCTAAGGAAATAATCAGAGAGAGATGCAATGATTACACCCACAGATGTTTACCGTGATCTTTTTAAAATGATGAAAAGTTGTAACAACTTAAATGATCATCAGTTAAAAAATGATTAAAATAAGTGAGGGCATATCCACAAAAAGTAAAATTATGGAACCATTAAAAAGTAAGTTTCAAGGAATAATTAAGGCAATGGAGAATGATATAAAAGAGAAGTGCTGGAAATAATATTTTACTTAAGATAATCCTGATTTGCGTGGAGAAACATAAAGGTATCCACAGAAAACACTGAAAAGAAAAATTTAAATGTAAGCCGCCTCTGGATGATGGGATGTGGATTTTTAAAATTCTTTACACTTCTGTGTATTTTGCAGATATCCTTCAGTGACTGTGAATTAATTTTGTACTTTAGTAAAAAGCCTTCTCCTTCTAAGACACAAAAAAGCCTGATTCTGATTTCAGCCTGAAAATGGTCTGTGGTCTTTGTCTGGGTGGTTTTAGACCTGAGTTGAATTCTGCGTAATTCTGCTCTGTGAAGTGCTCCAGCTCTCCCGTTCTTGGCAGTAAAAGACCCTCCAGGCACTTGAGTGAGATCCTTGCAATCAGAGTCGTGATTGCTAAGAGGTTCAAGCTTTGTTTGTAAGAGAAGAAGTTCTGATTCTTTTCTTTAAAAGTTCCTGCTTCCACTGATTAATCTTATTTTTCATGAAGTTGGAAGTGCTCTTGTGAACTTCCATTTGTTTGATGTCTTCTTTTTTAACCCTGTAGGTGTTCCAAAAAGCTTTCAGTCTCTGCAGAGTTTGTGGGAGCCCCATATAGGTTAAGTGTGGCTGGCTTGAGAGTAGTTCATGTTTTAGGTCTGCTGTACTAGGTCCATCCCTTCCCCCCAGCCTCCCTTCCTGGGAAACCATGTGGGCATGTAGGTGTTGCAGTCCGATTCTCTCCTGAGCCTAAAACCCTCTGCACCCATCTTCCGCCTGAATCTGGCCTCATGCCATCCAACTGTCTCTCCATCCCCCCTCACCCTCAGCTCTCAGCCTTTGCTGACCGGAGCCCAGCACCTTCCCCTCAGATCTGTCTCATGACATTGCTTCTCAGAAATGGGCCTCAGATCCCTTCCTTGGCTTCATTTACTTTTGTTCCCTAAATAAAGGACTTCTAGGTGTGTAAGGAAGGAATTCTGCCCAATCCAGTCCAGTTCTGGGGTTCTGTCCCTTTCCCCAAGAAATGGAACTGTACTTGTTGCAGTGAACCCACAAATCCCCAGACAGACCCTATCTTGGGAGAAAGTCCCCAAAGTCCTGGGAACAATTTAGTGTCACTCTGTCTGGTGGTAGAATGTGCCCCAAGGGAGTAGCACACCAGGCTCTGAGTGGAGGGCTGACCTTTGCCTGTGTCCAGCTTAGGCCAGAATTGAAGTGCTTGGCCTGGGCCCAGAGGCACCAGCCATCCCTATGGCCCCTCCCAGGAAAGTAATACCCACCTCCCAGGATTTCTCAGGGATCACCACTGGGGACAGTGCTTTCTGGTGATACAAAATATTGGCATCCTGGTTTTGCTTACATAATGGGGTTGGCGTTCCCACATGTGGAGTTCTGCAGCCACCTCTGAGAGCCACCTAGGATGTCCAGCTGTTTGTAGGAAGGATGTACAATGTCCCTTCCTAGCAGATCTAAGACTTCCTTCACCCACTGTGATCCAACCAAGGCCATTCAGTTGTCACATGCCATATTCTGCTTCTGCCTTAGGATATATATAGAGCCACAGCTCTCATTCCAAGAGGACTCTGAGGAGCCAACCTGAATCTCAGAATGTTCTGTCTCAAGGGGAAGGAGGAGGAGTCAGCCGTGAGATACCTGTGTAGCTGGAGACCCCCTGCCCATGAAAAGTTCAGTAAATGTGGATCAAGTGTGTCAGATGTCCATTTTTCAGAATAATATAGAAACCTAGGTTTTCATGTGAAATCCATAGGCCACCAACATATGACATATAAAACCAAGCTATCATTCCTATCCATTATGGTTTTTAAATAAACAAGATCGTACCCATGGTAAAAGACAAGCAAACATTAGTGGGAGTTTTGCTTTTATTTAAGGTGTAGAAACCTGTAGGGCCATTCTTCCTTTCCTATCCATAAAAGTGAATAATCTACAAAATCCATACATTTTCTTGAATGTATGAACTGAGATCCCAAGGCAGCCACATAACCAAATGCCAAAAAGGGGCAAGTCTGACTAAGGAGAAAAAGGGACACACAAGCTGTTTCTCATTTGGCAGAGCACCGGCAAAAAGGTAAGTGTGATAGATTTGACTATGAGAAATCAAGCTTAAATTTTCACAATTTCCTAAACGCTGAATTTGGATTAGTGGATCAGTTTAGAACAACTGGGAGCCTGTGATGGTTAGTTATATGTGTCAGCTTGGCTAGGCACAGTACCCAGATATTTGGTCAAGCACTCTTCTAGATGTTTCTATGGGGTACTTTTTAGATGAGATTAACATTAAAAAAAAAAAAAAAGATTTTATTTATTTATTTATTTATTTAGAGA